AAAAAAAAAAAAGTGCATGGGGCGGTACCCGACAGCGGACACTACCACCCCACACTTTCACAAAACCCCTACCCCCCCCCCAAACGCGCGGAAACGCGGTTCGCGGACCCCGTGCATTCGCGTCCAACGCGTGTTTGAACGGGGATTGAACGCGAATTCAACGCGTGTTCAATTTTTCAACGCGAAACCCGCGTTGAATCGATTTTCGGACACACAGGTCTTCGTTGCGTCGCAGAAGATCGGCAGGCCGTCAAACTTTCGGATTCTCTCGCGAGTAGTCGCGGTCGGACTGGCTGTCGCTGCACAAATCTGCTGGTCAATCCGCTGATTTGTTGCTAGAGCGCCGTCCTTGAGAGTCTCGACGTCGATTTCCAGGACGTTTACGCGGTCCGTCAAGTTGGAGGGTCTGGCGGGGGTGGTTGTTGTTGGCTGGTGTTCCAGCCGGCGTACCCGGTCAAGTAGTTCGTCGATAAGTTGAGCCTGCTTCAGGACCAGGGTGTCCACGTAGAGGATGTCCTTTTGTTGTGTTGCACAGGCAGCGACCAAGTCGCTCACATGTTCGATTGTGGTTGCAAGGCCACGAACAGCAGGGGGGACACCCTCCTTTTCAGCAACCACTGCCCATTCGTCGGCGATCACCTCAATGTCCCCCTCGCATTCGAGGATTTTGTCTCAGCGTAGTCGACGACATTTTTCTGCGGCCTTCCTCGCTGCCTCAGCGTCCTCTTGTCGCTGCTGTTCAGCGAGCCGACGTTGTTCCTTTGCTTCCTGATCTTCCTTCTTATGTGCGGATGTTGCCGCAGCTGCCCGACGTGCCCGTAGCTTGAACTCTGCTACCATGTCCAACATGCGGGTCTTATAGGCCTCGGTAGTCTCGCCTGGTTGCTGATCCATGCCGCTTGTCTTTGAGCGGGTGAGCACCATGCACTGACGTGACCTGCTGCTGCGGTGGCTGGTTGCTGACGTGGCACTGCTGTCGTGTCCTGCTGACGTGGCAACTCACCAATGCCACCGCAAGGGGTACCAGGAGGCAGATAGAGAAAACCAGAGGGGGCAACAACATAGGTGGGGAGGGGTGGGATAAATCGCCCACATAAGGAGCCACAAATCAAAAAAAGAAAAGTTTGAACTTTGCAAAACAATTCGAAAAAAAAGAAAAAAATACTCGTTTGCAAGTTTAGTATGCCTCCCAATTTCCCTGATTTAGAAGTGTGAAATTACCAATGAGAAAAAAATCCGAACTTCAGACCGCAAATGGTTTTCCGATTAAACAAGTTCGAAAATAAAGTACAAAAAACAAATTTGGAATTACTTGGATGAGAGTACGCACAGTTTGGAGATTGATAACTGCGAGAGGGATTCCCGAACCATTTAAAAAAAAAAAACAAATTTCGGAAAAAAAATATTCCGGATTTCCAAATAACGCGAAATTGCAAAAGGAAATCGAAATTTTCTAAAAAAAAAGATATTCTGGATTTTCAACAACGAAATTTCAAATTAAAATTTCAGATGTTGCGCTCTTGCGATATTCCACAACAAAAATAGTGAGAAAACAAAATCAAAGAAAAAACAAAAATTGATTTTCGGAAGTGAGGTCAAAATTGTGATTTTGGGGGCTAACTAGTGTGCTTTAATCAATCAATCAAGAATAATCGGCTACTCAGTCTTCGCACACGTGTCAGATCAGGTTGTCCTGATTCACGTGTTGGGTTCCAATACCAACTGTTACATGCCCAATTGGGTGATGTACATATATAACCAAGGATTCGCAATGTGATAAAAAAAACTGAATGGACAATGCAGTGCAAGTACAATCTCAACAAGCAGTGTGCATTCCGATACATACAAGAATGACATTCTATAGCGCAGTGGAAGACTTAGGGGCTCGTTCGACACTCCTCGGGTGCGTAAATCCCTCGAGTAAATCATCGTTCCACTTATCCTCAGGGAAAAAATTGAAAAAAAAAAAGTGAAAACATTTCCTCGGGGATTCCTCGGGCTACAGCCATTTCGACGCGTTCCCCAAGGGACCTCCCGAGGTCCCTTGGAGGTCGAGCATCGGGAAGAATCGGGGCGTCGACGGCAGCGCTGTCGACGACAATATTCGACGCGGCTGGTCCATTGCTGTTCCTGGCGGCCCGTGGACAAACATCTTTGGTCGGTAACGGTCGGCATCATGAAATTGTCCACCAACGGTCCCCTTTGGCACCCTGCCGGCCTCCGCGACGTTGAAAAGGGGCTGCCTTGCATCGCTGCCCTTGGCCCCGAGCGGGAAGGCGCCCAACGGTCGGCAGATTCGAATACTTCAGCCGGACCCCGCTGTCCCCATTGCACAGTGTCTTCCGCGACGGAATACGTTACCCTGCTTTTCTCGATAGTTGCGATGAGCCGTTTGCACCACTGGCCCTCGCTGTTTCCTGGGCATCCACCGTTGTCTTCTACTAGCTGCTGTCGTCGTTCACGTGCCTTTCATGGCCGATGTCTTTCGAAGGCTATGGCTGCTGGTGCTGGTCGTCCTCTTGCTCCTCCTTTTAGTTGTTTTCCACGTGTGCATCCTCGGCAGCCTTCCTCAACATGCCCCCAACAGACGGTCTTTGAAGAAGGACATTAGGATGGAGGGGCGCAAGGCGATCTGCAAGTCTACAGGGGAGCAGGTTGGTGGGCAGTGGGCTAGGCAGAGCCCGTCGAGGAGTTCAAGGTTGTCGGAGCGATCTGGTACGCGCACCTGCCACCTCACTTGCAACCTCTGCCGGACACGTCCGACGAGGAGGCGGATGACAGACGGTCACGGACTGTGCCGCTGGGAAGCGGGTCCACCCAGGAGTGGGCGGCTACAGCGGTTATGGCCACTCCTACACCGGACTCCTCTAGCAGGGGCTCAGCGTTAACGAAGGCAATGGCGGCGTGAATATGTTGTTCGGGCTATGTAGCGGGAGGTCGTCGGCCGCCTCGCGAACGGTCATCGTCACCCTCCGTCCCGACGATGACGGCGGGCAAGTGACGGTTGTTGCGCGATCATTGAAGTCTCCAGCGCCGGTATTGGAGGCGTTGGGGAACAACAGGGATCCTTTGAGGCAGCAATTTCGGTCACCGTCTGTGTCGAGGGGTGCCTCCGCTCGCCCCCAGTGGATGGAGTCTCCATCTCCCCTGTCCGCCAGTTCGAGTGTAGCCCGCCATCGTGGCGAATGCGGGGAGACGGATTGTGGCATCGCCGATCTTGGTGATGCGCGGGACGGGAGGGAGGTGTGGGCAGAACACCGATGGGGCTCCGGTCAGGGCAGGAGGAATCCATAACTCGGGG